AAAATGGACCTGATTATATAAAAATGATTGGTATTTGAACCTAATGCTCTGTCGTCACGCTTTTCACTTTCGGAAATCTGGCAACCCTATAAGAGGCTTATTATTAATCGTGTATGAGTACTGATGTATAATATTTAATTTACTAAAACTAATTTTGTAACATTTATTTACATTCAAATATAAAACATTGACATCCCACCAACGAGACAAACAGTTTATATCTTCTTGCAGAAATTGATAATCAGATATATTTTCTATACATTTAAAATTTTTTACATCATCGGCAAACTCCAGTTGTTCACTATTTTTAATGCAACTACTCAAATCATTAATAAATAAATTAAATAATAATAGGCCTGAGTGAGACACCTGTGGCACTCCTGACAATACACTTATTGATTGAGATGTGCAGCTGTCATATTTAACTAATTGTGTTCTGTTTGACAAATAACTAGAGATCCAGTTAAGTGAATGTCCGCTGACGCCGTATCTATCCAATGTAGAGATTAAAATTTCGTGATAGACCCTGTCGAATGCTTTTTAAAAATCCACATATATAGAGTTTTGCTTCGAGAGCATTTGCAATAAAATGATTATAAAGCGCCAGATTAGTGCAATAGATTTACCCTGACAAAAACCTACTCCAAATTCCCCCTACGAAATAATGAAAAATACACCCCCATATCCCTAAAGTGAAAACAAACCAAAGAAAAATTGAAAACGATGAGACTTTTTCTTTTGTATAATTCCCAACTTTTTCAATTTTTCTTTAGTTTGTTTTCACTTTAGGGGTGTATTTTCTATAATCTCGAAGGGGAAATTGGGGATTATTCATTTTCATATTTCGTAAATTAAGTCTCGTACTTTTTAGGTAGTAGGTACAACCTATGTTCAGATCACTTACTGCTAGACGGTATATAAATTAAAATAGTTTAAATAATTCTTAAGGAATAAACTCTAATCAAGGTCAAAAGGTTAATCTTTCTGGAAATTGTAGTAAGGTGTCTATGAACTCATCCATGGGCCCTTAGAATCTCAAAAAGGCTTGATGAAGAAGAGCTCTTCATCATATTACTGAATTTGTAGATGTGACTTAATTGTAAATAGTATAAAATAAATATATTATTTTACAAAGTAAAACAAAATTAAATGGTAGGTATATTCCTAGCAGGACAAATTTTTAAAAAATCAACTACAGATACCGTTATCCATTACCTAATAAAAACCTTTACGGGTTAGATGCCTATTCTACCTACTACGTTACTTACTATACCTACCTACACAGACATAACAAAATATGATAAACAAAAAAGGCTATAAAAGAGGCAAAAATACCTATACAGTCAATGATCGTACAAATAAAATGCCGAAAGTGCCATGCAACGGTAAAATCGAAAGGGGGCCACAGCCAACCGAACACTTGGGCCAGGTATAAAACCTGACCAGTTTATGGGCGACGTTGCCATATCAAGTAGTAACCATTAAACAGTAATAGTAATAAATAACCATAGTTAGTGGAAATATGGGTTCATACGCGAGTTCTAGGAATTGGAATTAACTTATTGACATAAACAATTTATCGCTTCTATTTTTAGTAATTTATTACATGATAGGTATCTTTGTTATGTAACACTTCCTTCCAGTTTAATAATGTTTAAAATGTAAGAAAAAAGTGTGGAGAAAGTCGAGATCCACTTGTTTTTGTTATTCTAAAGTAGGATTAAAAATAAAACATTTGAATAGAAAAAATATACGTAATTTACCTAGTAGGTATATGGAAAGAAACCTGCTTAGTCTTTTACATATTGAGTTTTAACCCCGCCAAATTATGCTGATTGTTATGATGATGTTTATAATAAGTTAACCCCTTGATGAGGCAAACTTAGGGGGGGGGGGCAATTACAGAAGCAGTTTAAAATTGTATACGATAAGGTACACAGCACTAAAAGGGACTGTGCATATGTCCCTATAAAATATAGAAATTGGTAGACAAATCATGATTTTTTTTTAAATTTGACATGTTATAAATGCATAAAATAAATCAATTAAGAAAGGTTGTAAATCACAAAAACCATTGCCATTAAATTTTAATAGTTTCAATATTTACTTGAAGACATGAATGGATAAGCGACCTATGTCGCACTTTTTAAAAAATTACTTTTTGTGTGTTTGAGGTTTAAAAAATGGTAAATAATTTTCCTATAATGTTTCAGAAGAATTTGATAATAATCATAAGAATATTCAGAAGATAAAGGGTCTATGTACAAAAAAATTTGACAACATTTTATTGATAAAGGATCTATGTAACTTAGGATGGTTCATATGCCTCATTTTTATTAGGCACTAAAACTTACAGATAAAGGGCAAATGTACAAATGAATGTTCATATGCCCTTTATCCATTGAAAACTGGAGTGCGTTTAGAAACCACGCACGGCGCGTCTGGACCCTATTCTAATGTATGTGGTGAGACGCGCCGTGCGGAGTTTCTAAACGCACTCCTCTGATGTCATTATATTTGTTTCTCTTTGAAAACAGTTCCTATGTTTTAACAGTTGTAAACAGGTATCTCGATTTTTACTTATTTTTCTTGTAAGTTTCAGTCAGTATTTAATACCTACAAACATATATGAGGCCCTTATCCAGTTAAACGAATTAGTGGATACATGCATTATTTATTTTTTTTTTTTGTTAAAAAATTAAACGGTTTTAGGTTAGATTTTATATTACAAATATGTTTTCATTAAATACAGATTTATAGGAAAAAAGCTGTTTTATTATAGCCCTTCTGTGTTAAATTAAGCACAAAAAACTTTTAACTGGTTTTTCTCGAAAACAACATTCAAGTAGATAGGCCCTTCATCCATTCATGTCTTCATTTATGTCATATCACGTTTCAATTGACCTCGTAGTCGCATTAGACACCTTATTAATCGTGAGGTATGTTTTTAACGACACAAGTATGTACCTATACTTTATTTGTGTTGTCAATAAAAAAAAAATATGCAAGGTTCTGTTTATAACTTTTTGATTGGATAACTTATAAATACTTTTATAGATTGTGACATATTTAGGATCAAAATACATAAGAAAAAGCAATTAATTAAATTAAATAACGATTTTGAAATTTTTGGTTCCTTAAATCTAGCCATCCGGTGCTCGATGTACAAAAATAGGTAGGTACATTATGATTTAAAAATGTTTCCAACTTTTCACTGTTCTATATTTCTAATCGTTTTCTTGATGATGAAATAACCGAATTCCGATATAAAGGCATTAATTATGACTGAATAAAACATCTGACCTACTAAAAACGTAAAAAAAATCTAGTAGAACAGGAGGTAAAATACAGGTGTTGCAGCTGAGTCTACAATATACATATATTATTTTTGTTGTTCACAACGTTACTATTATCTTGCGTCGAGCGTTGGTATACCTACCAAGCGACAGCTGTTTCTTTAAGGAAGCGAAAACATCTGTTAGGAAGACTGAGATAAAGATACCCTTTATATAAGTAAAAATAACATCAGCATAGGGGCGAGACCAGTATGTAGGTACGCGATTGTTAGTTCAAATAATAAAAAAAAAACGTTATCGTCTTAGTCCGCTTCCTTTGCATGGTTTGCAGTATTAGATATACGAGGGCTATTGCTAAAATATTAGGAAAGCATTGAAGAGAAACATTGTTTTGTTAAAAAACTATTTTGAAAGTACTTGCCATTTTCTATATACTTTCTTACTCACACTAGCCAATTTTCAAAGCATTTTTTCGTAGAATACCTTGTAATGTAGAGATGCAACGGATATTCGGCCAATATTCGGTTTGCCGAATATTCGGCCCGATTTTTATTGTTCCAACACCATATTCTTTCTGCTGGAATTACTTTTGAAATCACACTTTCATTGGCACTAGTAATTCGCGTAATTTCTTCAATAGGTTTTAACAAATTTAGAAAATTTTCAATAAGTGACCATTGATTTGCATTTAAATTTTGAATATTGATATTTCATTTGTATAAATAGAAATTGCTCGTTTTTGCTCAACTAAAACTTTTAACATACAATATGTCAAGTCAAGTTCCAACGACTGGGTACATCCTGTACTAACTTTTTTCTTTTTCCTTGAACATTTATTTCTTCCTGTTTATCACAAGTCAATGCAGAATGATTAAAATAGTAACAATTTCTCTTTGAACATTTCGTTGTGATCTTATGGAATCCTCTATAGCTAATTGTAATTTATAAAGAAAACACCTTTCACTGTTCATATCTTTTATATTAGCTCCTGAATCGGTAATGAATGAACCTAATTTACTACTCGATATTTTTCCCATTCAGTTAACAAACTCATTGAGTGATATTAATAACACCCGGGTCTGAGCACAGAGCAAATGCTCGAAGTGTGATGGCAGAGTCCGAGCCTTTACTCATATTGGTAAAAATAAACACAAGTTGAGCATGTGCTCTCATATCTTGCCTAAACTCCAGTATCTAGAGCATATGCTCACATGTGTATCGTTTATGTGCGTCACTGGGAATACTTCGTGATATTATGTGCCTAGAGAATATTGAAAGCTTTAAATTTGTGCAACGATAAGGCAGCGCTATCCAGAGACGTTTAAGAAAAAAAGTGGGAAATCCTCCCATTTAAAAACTACTAGATATTTATTAAACAAAAAGCAGAAAATTTCGTAGATTTAATACAGAATGGCAAGTAATGGTTTCTTTAAATTTCTTTTATTAATTTTTAAAATAAATACTTTTAAAAGGTTTACAAAAAAATCAAGGTTTCTGCACCCTAAGTTTATTGAAAATTTCACAAAAATCAGACTATAAATAAAGGCTCAGAAGGAATTATTAATTTTCAAGGTGTTCGGTTTGGTCTAAAGTCATATATTTCTGAACTATAACTATATTAACTATTGATTCATCTGATAGATAATACTAACAATATCAATTTATCTTATTTTTTCCCTTTCTCGAACTCCTATATTTTCATCATCAATCATCAAAATTCTCTTCAATATGTTCTTCCAATTGAAAATGGCTATCTTTTAAGTATTTAGCAACATTATGTAATAGTAACACGCTATGATCTATTTGAGTCGCAAATGTAATGTTGTGTTGTAAAATCTTGAACATCTGTTTTACTTGTCCAAAACACCTTTCGATGGTAAACCTTTTTTTGGTAAGCATAAAAGCACGAGATTGCCAGGTGTCATTAGCTATGGAGAACACCAAATCCTGCATCGCCTGGCCTAGAAGCACAGCACAAACTTGATTTCTCCTAATAACTGACTGGATATCAGAATTGGTCCAAATACGGGTATTTATGAACTGGACCCGGCCAAGAAACATCCACACTTGTGAACATTTATGAGTTGCTATAAGTTGCTAGTGAACTGGTGCTGGGTAATCCTTTTCTGGTGATATGAGTGCAATCCTTTGCTCTTTCTTTTTCAAATTCTCCTTCAATAGAAGGGAATTGCATCCAATAATCAGCTTTCTGCATTATTCTTGGAATAACTCTGCTATCACATTTGACACGGTTGGTTAAAGAACTATATTTGTAGCATACCTCAGAAAAAATTTTAAACGGAGTGACCCAAGAAGTTATCTTATCCATTCAAAATTTTCTTTTTTAAATCGATACAACGCATTCCAGTCTCGCTCAGCCACGCATCTACTAATTGAATACACTTGACAAAGGCGTAAATTATTTAAAAACTCGACAGTGAGTTTGCTAATGATTAAACTCAACATAAATGGACCAGATGCTCCAGTCTTCAATCAAATTAATATAGACTGGAGCAAATGCTCACAACTGGAGTCAATCAAGTTTGAGCAGAAGCTCCGCTTTATTTATTATCAGCTAGAGCATATACTTCGAATCTGAGCTTATGCTTCATTTTAATAATACCTCTCATTAACATTTTGTTTATGACAACACCATTGTGAGATCTAGGAAAATATTTTATATTTAATATGGCATGTTTAAAAGATTCACTGTCTATCCAGTGAGCAGTAAAGCTTATAAAACTGTTATTTTTAACATTACAAGTCCATATATCTGAAGTAAAAGATATTCTATTAGCAGACTCTGAGTTTTGAATTTTGAATTGAATTTTTCATATTATTATTATTTTGGGATCACAGTTTCAGTAAAATAAGCTCTGCTTGCACAATACTAAATAGAAGATTATCCAAGGACCATCATTTTACCAATTGCGTAGGTTATTTGTTGTGATTTTGAATGATTTACATTAAATTTTTCTAACGCCTTTATTTTTTATTTTTTTATCCTTGTAAACATTTTAAAATAGGAGTAGGTGATGTCTTTTTGCCTACACTTCCTCTTGAAACAGCTGGTTTGCATACATCACACATGTAACTTTTGTTTTTATTGTTTACCTGATAAAATTTCCAAACTAAACTTTGTTTAAGACATATTTAAGAAAATATCAACGCCTGTCTGAAGACTTAAATAACTAACAGATCACATAAGAAGATAGGTTAATTATACATGAGTAGACCTGTTGAAACTTGGGGATTGGGCTTCTGTTTAGAATATTTCAATTACTAGCCGACCGCCATTATTCGGCAGGTAACTGACCGGCCACTATTCGGTCTTTGGTTGTGAGGGTTCGGCCCATTCAACAACTGATAGTCGGCCTTAATTCGGCCTATTCGCCGAATGCGGCTCCTGACTATCAGTTTTTCGGCTGAATAGAAAATCAACTATCGGTTCGCATTACATTTACATTCGACAATTCACAAATGTTTCTAACGGATTAATTTTTCCATTAACAAAATGATATAAATTCAGATACAAAATCTAAACGCAGACCCTCCATTGTACAATGAATGAAACAAAAACAAATACTAAGCAGCGCATTACCTATTGGTAAGAACGTTTTATTCGTTTTGATTTGAGTATCGGCTTGAATCGTTTAAATGTTTCCTTCCACCTTATTATGATATGAGAGGGCCACAACGCAGGACCACGTAACTAACATTTCCACCAGTATTGCCAATCGGAAATAACGAAATTACCTCTAATTATAATGCTCCATTTTTCCTCACAACAGCAATAAAATCCTCACAAATGCCTCACATAAGTTTTGAAACATAATTTAGATTTAAATCCATGAAATTGAGGAGACATTTTAAAGTTTTGTTCGTTTTTTTTTATAGACATTAGACAAACAATTTAGTTCATCAAAATGGTACGCCATTTAATAGCGAAAAAATACATTTTGAAGTATTTATTTAAAAATATTAGACAATCTGAGAATCACTCGTTTCTCGTAAAAATGTCAGCACACCAACAATAAGCAGCTCGTCCTGTGACACCGAATACATGCAATAAATTATTCTTCGTTCAGATATTCAGCACTGTTGGTAATTTTGTCAATGGTCTAAAGCCATCTATCACCATCACTACCTATTCTGGACCTAAACTACTAATGATAATTTAAAGAAACCGAAAACACTCGAGATCTGATTTTTAAACAAGTGCTTGAAAAAGAAGTCCTAAGCTTAGAAAGTGTTGCTTTTAACAAAAAAAAAACCTAAATTTAGATTCGCTAAATATAATTTTGATGAATTAGCTATAGAATACTGAATCCTCACAGATTCCTCACAATTGGGTCAATGCGAGGGTTGATGCTCTACCACTTTTGCTCCACAAGTTTCAAATACTTACAAATGTAAGCATTTACCCTCATGTTGGCAACACTGATTTCCACTGAAAATTATATTTTATGATAATCTCGTTTAAAACATTTCGCTTCATCTAGTGTATATAGGGTTTCCAACTTTTTTAACATAAAAAAAAAACGTATGAAATTGTTTGAATAGGAAAAAATAAAGTTTTTGGAAGACGAAAAAAGTATTTTTCATATTTATGTTTTTATTGCCTTAAAAACATACTTTTGTGTGCTTCTAGCATATTATACTAACGATTTTTTTGCTATCTTTGAAAGTTTCAAAGCTTGTTTTACAATCGAAACTTTAATTTAAATTTAACGACGCTCTGTTTCTCTCATTTTTGTCTCTTCAGATTCATTACCCAAAAAACTACCTCAATGAAAGCTGAAGTGTAAATAATATTTACTTTAAAATGGATTCTTCAATTATTATAAACAAAAACAACGTACAATTTTCATAAAATTTCGTCGATAGTAACATCTGTGATATATGGCACATCTAACATCTAATATTTCGTTCAGTAATTATCAATCATTTTCATCAGAAGTACATTTTGTTTTAACTTATATGTATCCATAAATAGTTTAGTACTTATTTACCCATAATGAGTGTTTCGTTTTAGGTACTTATTACAGTAAAGATTAGAAATAAAGTATTTTCGGATACCTTATTTTTTATGCAAAAGTATAAAGTATATTTATCGAAAATAAAGTAGGATACGTTATTATAAAGTATGGTTGGCAACCCTAACTGTAGTATTACAATTTTTGAATACATGGGTAAATATTATTCCTATTATAGAGTAAAATGGATTGTTCTATGCACTTGTGAATCGTTTTTTTCATTTGAAAAATATTGATGTTGCGACTTACGAGGTCCTGTCTTGTGGCTCCCAAGGAGCATATTTTATTTTTGAGCTACTATTAACTCGTCTGGCATCCATCGACTGGTGAAAAACTGCATAGAAGACCTGACAGAGCTAAGCAGTAAAAAAAGGCCAACGAACTAGCCCAGAAGGCTCAGATAATGCCATGACAGGCCCCGAACCCTTCTGCGGAGTTGCTAAGGAATCCACCAAACAATGGATGCAAGAAGAGTCTTAGAAATGGTGGAACAACTATCCAAGATTGACACAGGTCAAACAGTTCATCGGCCAAGTTCACGAAAGACCTACTGATTCAAAAACGACAAATCGTTAGGATAACAGAAGGTCTTCTTACTGACCACTATCACCTAAGAAGGTACATGAGTGTCATCAATTCAGAAGAAGCAACATAGTGCAGGTTCTGTAAAGAATAAGAGGAAACATGAATCCGCGTCCTGTGCCAGTTTGAAGCAATGGATAGATTGAGGTTTGTAACTCTAGGTGAAGAAAAGCCAGATGCATGTGGTAAGTCTAACAAAAAATACCAAGCTAGACGACATACTCTAACGGAGACACACAATAAAAATTTTAGAATGTCGCAGTGGACAATGATAAATAAATAAGATTCAACTTCTTATAAATCTAATCTAATCCATCGATAACATAGTTTTCTGATATTCAGATGATCCATGCAAAATTTGGGATAGATGTTTTAACTCAATTCACAAATGTTCCTGAACATATTACGAACAACGGAACAGCGTTAGCGTTAATATCAAATATTACGTAGGCATTTTATCATAAGATGAATTAAAAACGGGACTTGATGACAAAACAGCGCAGGTCAAAATGAGGCGGTACAAAATAACGCAGGACAAAATATCGCGTAACGAATAAGATGTTTTTTTAAATAATGAAATTCATTAAAATAATGCGTAATAAATACTGTTCATATATTCTTGGTAAAAGGAGAAATAGAGGAGGTAAAAAGTCCAAATAAGGCCAAGAGATTTAAGGGATTACAGCATGATCAGACTGGTCGAAAATATCTCGCATGACATTATTTCTGCGGTAAGATCGGTAAATTCGACAAAAATCCAGTCGCTTAGTGAAAATAAAATACATCGCAACACTTATTTTTGCAGTTGGACAACCGTGCTCTTCGGAGTTTTCGAGTCAGCACGTCGATGGTGTGCATTGCATACCTATATAGATATATTAATAATATTAATGAAAAAATAAAAATTTAAAAATTAGGTATCTCGAGCCACAACTATAATGCAAAAAGTAAAAGAGAAGTCCCGTAGGTAGGTATATGCAATGTGCATAAAGCCTTTTCTGTATCGGCAGATGCAATACAAGCCTGGTGGACCGTGGAAGAACGACGAGCATCGTGAGAAAGTTTTCAAGGTCAAATGGATGTCATTGTAATAAGTGGCTGCGTACACACTATAATAGTACTTACTACCTACGACTACGGCCGACTGCTTCAACGCCGTCTTTGTTATTCATTCTCCTTTTTTTGTTTTTTTTTCTTTTCTTATCAAGCGTCAGCCTGTGCTATGGCTACGCAGCAATTTGTTAAATATTGAGGTTAAATATATTTAAAAAGTGCCTGTTTATATTTGCGAGAAGGGATGACATCAGGCAAGCAAATATATTTACACAGTATTGTGAAAATATTTTTTTATCTTGATCCCTTCTTGAGATATACAGGGTTTTTCATTAAGAAGATTAACTGATTAAAAATAAGACGAATAAACGAAATGTAAGAAATAATATAAAATTATAATAAAACACGATAATAACGTAGCAAACTGAGTTTATTCCAATCGATACAACGAATATGTCTTGACTGACTAAAAAACCAAAGCATCTTAAAAAAGGAACACTCAACAATCAATAGCGTTAATATAAACAAAACTGCACGTGTGCAGAAATATAGTGGTCCCTTTCCCTTTGTTAAAGAATCCATATAATATTACACAATGCTCAAAAGTATTATAAAGTAAACACTTCATCATATTCCTACAGAAACATGCTTATATAAAATATTACTGGTTTCCGAAATATTCCTATATAATTTTTTTATTTCTCACTATAATTTTACTAAATTTGGTAAACATTATTAGTGTCATAAGATAAGATACACCTGTTAGCAAAAGAGTCAATTAAATAAACTTTATCAGCGGCGTACAACACAAATAGTAACACTTTTATCCTCTCTAAATTTTACGTCACTGTCCAAAAACTTATTTAGACTATACTTTCAAATTTTTTCATATTTTTAAATAAATCATGTACCTACTCTTGTTGGGAACTCATAAAATGACTGGTTTTCGAGATATTCACGCTCAAATTTATTTTATTTTTTAATTTTGGATTTTTTCTCGAATTTTTTTTTATAAATTCCCAACAAGAGTACCTACATAATCTATTTAAAAAATATTAACAAATTCAAAATTATATACCAAATAAGTTTTTGGAGAGTGGTGTAAAATTCAGAAGGAATGCAGATATTACTTGCTGTACGCCACTGACAAAGTCTATTTAGCTCATTTTTTTGCTGATTGGTATATCATAATTATGATACAAAAAACGTTTGCTCAGTGCAATTATATAAAAAAATCAAAATTACTAAATTAAAAAATAAATGAGTGAATTTCTCGAAAACCAATAACTTTATGAGTTCCCAACAAGAGTACATGACTTATTTAAAAAACTTAAAAAAATGTAAAAGTATAGTCCAAATAAATTTTTGGACAATGGCGTAAAATTTAGAGGGGATGAAAGTGTTACTCATCCTTGTACGCAGGGCTGCCGAGAAACAGGAGGGGCCCCGGGAAAATTTTCGAGGTGGGGAGCTGCGACAATTTTATAAAAAAATTAGGCCCTTTTGATATTATATCACATTTCTAAAAAAAAAAAAAAAAAAAATCCTTTTTAGTGAATTTTCTAAAAATAAAAAAGGTCCTTATCTTGTATTTTATATAAACCAGTGATGGAGCACTGGCAAAGCTGCCGGGTCGGTCCCCCTTGTGCCGCTGCCGGGTCAGTCCCCCTTGTGCCGCTGCCGGGCCCCCACTTGTGCCCGGGCCCCGGAAATTTGTCCTGCCAGCCCCCCTCTCGTCGGCCATGGTTGTACGCCACTATCCTCGGACAAAATATTGAAGAAGGTGATTCCTTCCTGTTCACGTACAACAATCATACGATACCAGAGCCTAATGAATGGAATCACGTGCTTAAAACTGCAGAAGTTATCGAAATCACGTGCCAACTAGTCATACATGCATATTTATTGCCAAAATGAATTACGCCAGTGGCGTATAAAAACTATTGGCAAATTAAATGCGGTAATAGTAAATAATATTATATGAAAGTAGGTTGGTTATCTATTTTTGTAGTAATAATCATTTATGTTTATAATTTTGTTTTGTTTATTGTTAAAATATGTAAATATTATGTCAGTGGCGAAGGAACACTATTGGAAAATTAAATGGGGTATTATACTAGAACAAAATATTGAATAAGGTGTGCCTTACTTACTTGAATTCTAAATCTATTAAGTTTCGTAAATCCATTGATTCTGCAGAACTATCACTGGAATCGTCTTTATCGTCGGAACTTAAAATTATGACTAAAGGTTCAACTACCGTTTCGATCATACCGTCCAAGCGTCACATATTATTTTCTTCCTTAATTACATGGGAAATAGCATTCTGCCAATCTTCAGGTGTTATACGTTCTATACCGGTTTTTAAAAAACTTTGAACGTCGGCTATTTTAAAAGTTTTATTTTCTCGAGCTACAAACCCTTTCCTTGCGCCCAAATTAGTTCAATAGGATTGAATTCGCAGTGATGAGCAGGAAGTCTTAATACCGTAATACCACGATCACGAGCCATTGTGTCGACAACATATTGAATATATTTATGGGGGTGTTCCTTTATTAGGTCCATTAATTCCACTTTAAGCATCTCCTCAGTAAATGTTATTGCTTTATCCCGCAGCCAGGTTTGCATATCCGCTTTCCTACTAGACATTATCGGAATGCGTTTAACTCGTCGACTGTGATAAGAAGCGTTATCTAGTACAATAACAGAATTTAGTTCTAACGCTGTAATACTTCAGTAAACCATTTTTCAAAGCATTCCGCATTCATGTCCTCGTGGTAGCTTCCTGTTTTTTTTCCGATATAAACACAAGAGCGCTATTTTCCAAAAATCCACTGTCACTTCCGATATGGGTAACAATAAGGCGCTGTCCATTACCTGATGGTCCTTTCAAACCTGTAGATAATCCCTCTATAAAAGCTTGGCGATGACTAGTTACAGGAGTATCTTGCCACATCTTAGATACCGTGTGTCCAGCATTCACCCAAGTTTCATCGAGATAGTATATCTTTTTTTAGCGGCTCTAAACTCTTTAATATATTGTAAATAACGCCGTCGCCAGGACACTATATCTGACTTCTCAATTAAAATTGATTTCCTGCACCGTTTGCAAAACGAAATTTTAGGCCCCATAAAATTTTTCATTTGTTAAAACAGATACTCCAGTTAAAAAAGAACTGTGGTTTACAGCTGCATTTGCAGGAAGTGTCTGTTTCAGCCCATCATACACTTTCCATATAATGTTCTTTTCATCCTTTGATAAGGGCTTTCGCCGACGTAATTGGGTTTCACTTGGACCCGCCTCTGAATCCATTACTATTGCAACAATATAATTCTACTATTAAATTGTTTTTATTAAATTTATAAAGACACCAATATTTTACTATTTAATAAACTTTTAAAGTACCTACCTAATATACTACACAATAAATATAACTCCTCGAATATGCACTACCACTACCAAATTGTAAGGCACAAACATGAACACTTACTCGTATATCATAAAAGAGCACTTATACAAAAAAGTGTTTATAAAATACAAAATAATTATCGTAAATAGTTAAAGCGATACAAATCTAACTTCGTCGAAAGTTAGTTTTCAACTGTCTTTGTGCCTGTGCTGACAATATTCAATCTGTAACCTGTCTGTCGTTTATTTACTTGAAACACATTTTAAAACCATTAAACACAGATAACGAAGTCATTAGGGAATAAATATATTCATTTCTTGAAAACTATCAAAAACGTATATTTAACGCATCATCTTTGTTTAAATAAAGATTTTGACAAACAAATTTAATAAAGTTTACTAACAAATACCTAATAAATAATAAATAATTATTTGATATTTGATACGCCGCCTATGCTGACTATGTCAGAATTTTCATTCATAGGCAACAGTGTTGATCATGCATATGACTCATCTTATCCAATATTTGGTCCGAGTATAGTAAATTTTATTTAACTGATTGTTTTGCTAACAGGTGTATCTTATGACACCAACAATGTTTACCGAATTATAGCCACTAATATTTTTTAAATTTTCAACTTTAACACCGTGTATTTCTGAAATCAGTAATATTTTATTAAGGCATATTTCGTTTAATCGTCTTATTTTTAATCAGAGCATTTTCAGTTTTCTGTGTCTCATTTAGGTACGTGGGGTGGTGTTCGAAAAATACTAATTTTCAATCAAAAATACAGGGCTGGCCTTTAGGCTGTTGTTAACATCAGTCCCATAATTATAAATTTGGGAGAAACGAGTAATAGCATTCATGAGAATGAAAATATAATATCGCAATAATCTTTTTCGACGATCTCCGTCCATGAGCATTTTCAATGACCACTTAATTAACTACTGATAAGGGTTTTATTTATATTCGACCATCTCATTAGTTCTTTTTTATCGAACTTAATATTAAATTCAACTACAGGTGATCCACTTCTACTTATCTATAACCACTACAGGTGATCCACTTCTACTTATCTATAAAGTTAGTTTTAATGAGAAGATAATTCACTGAAATTATATTGCCTATAACTTGTTTAAACGGTCCATTGTATAAAAGACCTTAATTTATTGAATCCCCTTGGAATCCCAGTCTTTCGTTGCAAAGTTCTGGTACTGGTTTTAGAATTCTTTCCAGCGCTAATTCTAACTGGTTTCAACCCTCCTGGTTCTCGAAGACTCTTTCGATTCGGGAAAAAGTTTTTCGATTTAAAATGCTCTGGTTTATCGGGCTGCTCATTAAAAGAGAAATCCATATTTGATAGCTGAAGTAACAGAAATAGCAATTAAAGAAATAACGGTAATCGCGATAAAAAAAAAACAATACAAACGCAACTAAATATGAAAATTATTGAAACATTTACTGTCAACAATAAACTGGGGCGATTATTTCCTGTCTTAAGTTTTTGTGCAGATATGGTCTTTTGCTTATGATTATTTTAACGTAAAGATTGCACCGTGGAAAAACCTTCTATTTTCCATATTAAGCTACCCTGCTTCTCTTAATTTATGATATTCTTTGGCGCCTTCTTATTCCATAAATTAATCTCAAATATTAATTTTGAACTTTTTGAATTTTGTATTGATAGTAGTTTGTTAAATTTGGACCATAAACTGAATTTGAATAATTAAATATAGACAACACAAGTGTCTCACAAAAAAGTAATTTAATTTTTTGGGAAATAAAATGTCTAACTCCATAGATCAATTTCAGGGAATAATAAGCTCGTCGAATTAGGTTATTCACGTGTTTTTCAAATCTTAGAGTCCGATCTAATATTACTCACAAGCTTTTAACTTTTTCGCTTATTTCAATAATTTGATTATTGTAAATTATTAAGTAAACCTTGAACTCTACTCAAGGACAAACGGTACATTTTGGTATATATAAATTGGATCCAATCGACTTATTTTAAACAATACGTGGTAGCTCCTTCTCCCAGCAATTTTGGGACACCATGTACTCTGTATATTTTTATACGTCTTTACACATTTCAAGCATGTTCGTTATCACTCATTTTCTTCGAATAATTTTAGCGATATGTTCCGAAACAAAAAAAAAAAGACAAAGAATGCACGACTAACGATTAGGAATAATCGACATTAACATTGCTAATTTTTCAACATGCAAATTTGTTTAACAACATATTTAAATTGCTTCGTTTACCTTGAAAAATGCTGCGTAAATCTTTTTAACAGCTTATTTTGTAATAAATGTGAGTCACGGTCAGGAATATTTACTCTTTTTTATAATAAACTGATTCCGAAACGCAAGTCGTAAAATAGACTATTTTGAGTCAGCTTATTTCTTGATTATGAATATGGCACAATCTCCAGTCAGCTACTTTGGAGCTGTTCATAAAGTTCATTTAATATTTTTATATGTACTATCAGAGACAACAGAGACGTGTAACTTAATAGAAAAATTTGTTCGGTGGTCCATTTAAATTACATATATGACTTTCGTTCTCTTTTACGTACATTGATCTTTACGTATATTTATCTCTCTCCAATAAAACTAACACCATTCTAAGAGGTCGCTGATGTTACAGCTACTTTTGTTCATTAAGTAGGTAGATGAATGTCTCAACAGCTTTAATGGCAGCAAAAAGTTCCCACCTACGAGAAAAGAAAAAAATCTCTGCACACGTAGCATTGGCAAACGACTTTTGAAATTATTAGACATTGGCTATTTCTTACATACACCTACCTCTAATAGCCACTCAAAAGATTGTAGAATCATTTAAACGAAAAAAAAAAAAAAAAAAAATTGAATCACAAAAGGGCAGAATTTTAAATCAGGATGCATTCGAAAATAACTTTGGGGACATCAGGTCGGTTTTGGATAGAGATCAATCTCAAGAAAAGTTAATTTATCCTGCAGAACAACCAGTAGTTGAATTAGGGATTTGCTATAACTTTATTAGAAGATTTCCTTGATAATAAATTGTAATATACCAATTGTTTCAAATGAAATTGAAAAAGAGTTAAATTCGAAATTAGATTATTCATGGGTAAAATGTTATATTCACTTAAACATTGTACGGTAATCTATAATTAAGGGAATCTGGAAAATAGGTATACCCTGGTGGTGTAAGAGACAGGTAAGGGGCAATGACAAAAAAGTATTCATCTTTAAATAGTATTTATTAATATTATTACTTGCTATGTTTGAAAAGTACCTCCTGCTGCAGAACAGATCGAATAGATTAGACGACTAGTTGGAGAAGGTCCACCTAGTAACCAAATTAGGAGACTAGGAAAAATTTACATGACTGGGGATACAACAGGAATGCACACGCACAAGATACACAAACAAACGACATAACAGGGGTAAGCCTTCAGCAACGTCCTGTTTAAATGATAGTATGTCATCTTTCATTCCCTTTTAGAAGGCATGGCATATAAATCTATTGATCTTGATGACCCTAAGAGCAGTTAGCAGGGGTGTGTACGGAATGGGTCTAGTAGGTTTCGATCCAGTTTACAGGTTGGGAACTTACTCGACTCAGGCTTTATACATTTGTGTTAAGTGTATGTGTGTGTTTGTTTCGTTTCAATGGTTTCTATTAAAATAAACAGTCATAACATATCGATACCTTTTTGCCAGACTAACGTAAGCGACATTTGTTCAAATGGCACAAAAAGGTATCGATATACTCTATACTTTATAAAATATTTGTTACATTAGTTTTTAAATATATTATGAATATATAACAACTGTTATTATTTTTGTAATTTGTCACAAAATGATACGAGGTACTTTCTAAACGTAGCAATTGTAGTTTGTTTTTCTGTACCTTACAAAAATATAATTTATAGAAAAAGAGTTTGGTATATTATTTTTCCAAGTTTAAATATTTAATAATCAATAGAATTTTCAAGTTTTTTTGGCGAAATTTACAAGAGTAATAAAAACTATGTTCACTGCTTATATTAAACTGATTACAACTTCCTTTATTAAAATGATTATTTATATGATTTGATGTTATTGGAAGCTTTTATATTTTTTAATATACAGTGAAACAATAGTTTTTGTTTCTCCTGTAAACTTGTATAGAAAAACTATTTATTTCTGAATCCATGTTTGAATTTCCCGCCCTAAAGCATTTTTAATTTTCCCGCTACTTACTAGTGGTGCCATCATAGACTGGTTGTGGTTGCAATCGCCTAAACAACTTTTACCGAACAAAAAAAATACATTGAGTTACACGTCTCGCTGGGTTGTCTCTGGTACTATTTATATTTTTAACATAAGGCATTTCTTTATAAGCTTACTACAACATACTTGGTTACAGTATTGTGGTTACTGTGGTGACATTACGCATACCATGGTTTCCCTATTATTGAATGTCATATATCAAATTTTATTTAAATTTGGGGATTTCTAAACGAAATTTGTATTTTAGAAATTTTAGGATGTTTTGACTTTGTTATTTTTTATTATAGTATGTTCTAGTAAGCTTATAAATAAATGCCTCGTTAGATGTAGCTACATATGCTTTGGTAACATGTAACCAAAGCAGAGTAACCAAACGTTATAAAGAAATGCTCTGGTTACAGAAGTATGTTCTGGTAAGCTTATAAAGAAATGCCTATAGTTCACAAAAATTACACCTGCTGCGTCATAAAAATCCGGATTTAGAGAGTTAAAGTAATGCCAGAAACGTATACCTAAACATATCTAATGACAGCTACGCATGCGCAACAGCTATTTTTCAATTTACGTCTGACGTAAACGTACGTGTTTTTATGTACGCCTAATAGGCATTCGTATCGACCGAGCAAATGTTTCGGGAGCATCAGATCGCACCCGGTTTAATAAAACTAATGACATATTGTAACTTTATATTATTCTATTTTTTAAATTATGAGCTATAATACGAAACGAGTTTCATTTGTAATTTATATAATACCTATACACAGCACATTTATTTTTAGAAAGTTCATTGAAACAATGAATTAGTAAAAATTATTACCGGATATTGATACTTGATCATTTGTTTTAAACATATCTGACATGCCAAGAGCTCTGTAAAGCCTAATTATGTCAATTATTAAAATTGAATCTCCCATATAAAACATCACTATTTTCAAAATATTATTTATTATGTAGAATTTGCATCATCTAAATCTTCATCATCATTTAAAGCCCTTAAATTCATTATTTACTCAATATAACTATCAATACTTTTCTTAAAAAGTAAAGGTTATACAGTTGAAGATATGTTTACGTCAATGCTTTTGCTTTAACTATTGTTTTCTTCCAATTGCACGTTTAACGTATCGTCAATTTCTACGTTTACGTCAGAGAGATACGCATACGTTTCTAGCGTTGATTTAACACTATTCGCAACCTTTCTGGTGTTATTCACTCCGTGCGTGACAGCAGCGCCAATTCATTTTTGTACTAATGGGCTATTTTTGCCTATACTGACAATAGAATTCGTAATTTAAAAGTATATGTGTTAGTTTTAATAAAAGTATATGGATTTGTAAAACAAGTAAAAAATTAGTTTATTATTATATATTTTTATCGTTTAAACTAAAAACAATTAAGTATATTCAATAAAAATCAATAATAAAATAAAAACAGGCAACAGTATTTACGGGAACATGTATGAGAAGTTGCCTAAGTATAATAAGTTGTCTTTGCAGAATTAACCTATTCTGTTAAAATAAAAAATACCTTTAAATAATAGCGTGAAGTTAAAATGTATAAATAGAAGGATTGTAATTTATATTTTCATTTTTGTTCGAAAGAAAACATAGAATGAATGATTAAACTTAGTTTCCTATCAGTAAGTCACAAAATTGCAATCCAGCCACATACAATAGCCAAAGACTGAAATCAAGTTCTTGCAGAACATTTAATATTAAAGGGATGTTGAAGAACATCGTAAAATTATATTTATTGTTTATTTAAAACCTTTCAAGTTTCTGATGTCTACTATTTCCAGTATTACTGTTATTATTACAAAAATAAATGTAATATTTCTTCTTATTGTACACATATCCATTTATTTCTTTGATTTAATTTCCACTTTGCTACTGAACATTTTTTAAATTTACTCTGTTTTGCTAGTATTTGTACAATTTTCAACACAGCAACTCCGGTTGCTTATTGTATTGTTTTTACCTACTTAAAAAAAAAATTATAAATAAAATGTATACGTGTATTTGATATGCCAAAATTACAAAATATCGCCTTAAAATACACGAATTTTCTGCAGCTACTAGTATCGCTTTTGCTTCC